CACCACAACTCAAAAAACCAACAACACACACCAGACACAACACACACACACAACACATCTATTAATATATATATATTATATATATTATATATAGAGAAGAAGAGAGGATAACGAGAGAGAGAGGAAAGGGAGAGAGCAGATGAGAAGAGAGAGAAGAGAGAAGAGAGAGAGAGGATGAGAGAGAGAGAGAGAGATAGATAGATAGATAGATAGATAGATAGCATTGATATAGATAGATAATAGATAGATAGATAGATAATGAATATATATATATATATACATATATATATATATTATATATATATATATATATATATAATACTATATATTTATTAATTATTATTTATTGTATGTATGTATTTGTGGTTATGAACATTGAATTATAGTCAGAAATAATATTATAATAGAGATAAGAATCGTTCTAACATTCTTCATTACTCTCGCAGAAATTGGAGGATACTATGAACAAAGGGCAATTTATTTTCAGTACTTTCTTTAGAAATAACAATCAACTTATAATTTAATCATGCAATTGAAGTTGAATGAGAATGACGAGAAGAAAACTGAATTGTAATGTTTTAATGATACGGCTTTAATAATGATTTTGCCCATAGAGTGATAGCAATAACACTAATAATAATGATGATAATGGCTGTTGGTTTCTGTAGTCACTTCCTAAATCTTCTTTAGAATTAAAACATAGATGTTTCACCCGAAATCCATAGAAACGAATCCAATAGATATTTTTGCATTACAGACTGTCCTGAGCTAGAACCGGCACTGAGTAATGTGATGATGATAACAACAAGGGTGATAAGAGTAACAGTAATAGTGAATACTGCTACTACTACTAGATAATAACAGTAACAACAAAGAGTAATAATGATGATAATGACATCAATAAAGTTATGATTAAAAGGATGATAATAATAACAACAACAAAAATAGATGAAAAATAATGATGATAATGATATTAATGACGCTAATGAAAATATCAATATCATAACAGTCATAATGAATGAATAATAACAAGAACAAAATAAAACAACGACATATATGATGAGATAAATATTTATTAATGATAACAACAAAAATTATAATGATAATGATAATAACAATGATAATAATGACAGTAGTAATAAAAACAATAGTGATGATAATAATAATGATAATAAGGACAAAATTCATATAATAATAATAATGATAATAATAATAATGACGATAATGATAATAATGACGATAATAATAATAATATTCATAATAATGATAATGATAATAATAATAGTAATAACGAAAGTAATAAACGATAAGTGATGATGACAACAATATTATGGATATGCTGATAACAACCACAGCAATGATAATAATAAAAATAACAATGAAAATAATAATGATAAAAATAATGTTAATGATTATGGGGATGATGATGACCATAATGATAATAACAACAACATCATTAAGGAAGAAAATGTAATGATAATAATAACAATACTGATCATAATGATGTTGATAACAATAATAATAATAATGATGATGATAATGAAATAAATAATATAATAATTAATAATAATAATAATAATAATAATAATAATAATAATAATAATAATAATAATAATAATAATAATAATATAATAATGATAATGATAATAATAACAATAATAATAGTGGCAAGGATTATAATAATAATGACAATAATAATAATAATAATAGCAATGATAATGATAATGATATTAATGATACTGATAATGATGATGATAATGATGATAAGTATTGATACTATTAGTAATAATGATACTAAGGATAATGATAATAGTTATAACGTTAATAATAGCAACAATGATGATGATAATAATGACAATAATGATAATGATGTTGACGAAAATGGTAATAATGATGACAATGATGATACTGATATTAATAACAAAAAGGATAATGATAATATTGATAATTACGATAACAATAACAATGAGGATAATGATAACAGTAATTGGAAATGTTAAAAATATATTATATAAAAATATTGATAACATCTAAGTCATAAATGATCGTAAAAATGATGATTACTAGAGTGATAATAATGATGATATGAATTGTATAATGAATAAAGCATAATGATAAGGATTATATAAAAAATAAGAAGAATAACAGTAAAGATTTGAAAATTATTATTGAAATTGTATAACATTATTATCATTATTATCATTGTTATGATAGCAATGATGAATAAAGAAAAAACAATAATCCAAATATGATAAGATTGACATGCATGATAATAGTGATAGTTTTAATGATAATAATGCTAAAAGTAATGGCAATGGCAGTGATGGTGATAATATTAATGAAAATACACTAATACTAATAGAAATAATGATGATAATGAAAATACCAACACAAACATGATGGTAATAATAATCCCAATGATAATATTGACAATAATAATAATGATAACAATACTTAAATAATGATATTGATAATGATAACAATAAGGAATATGATGGTAATAACAGCACAAATGATAATAAGAATAAAATAAGGATAAATAGTAATAATAATAATAATAACATAATAATAAATAATAATAATAATAATGATAATTAATATAACAATAGTATATTATAGTAATAATCAATAAACATAATAATTAATAACAATAATAATAATAATATATAATAAAAATAATAATAATAATATAATAATAATAATAATAAATAATATAATAATAATAATAATAGTAATAATATAATATATAATAATAATGATAATAATAATGATAATAATAATAATAATGTAATATAATAATAATAATAATATAATAATAATAAATAATAATAATGATAATAAGATAATAATATAATAATAATATAATAAAATAATAATTAATAATAATAATTTAATAAATAATAATAATAATAATA